GTCACTGCAGAGGTCCCCTTCTTCACACCTTTCTCACACTCCCTCTGTACTGCCTGGATTCCTTGCATTTCCCCCAGATACACAGAGCCCTTCCAGGATGCCCCATCTGCCTCAGCTCCTCCAGTCTCCACTTCTGCTCTGTACACACATGGACCTTCTCTTCTCAGCTCCACACTCTTTGATCCCACTTTGTGACCCAGGTGACTTTAGGGAGGCCAGAAGTGGGGAAGGCAAGAAGGCAGTGACAGGAGCAGAAGAGGAAGTGGTTACACAGAGCTGCCAGTCCAGAGATGGCTAATGCAGAGGTTTGCTCAGGTGACAGAGCAGATGGTGACAGCGACAGCTTTATGTGTCTCACATCACTCCCACTCATGATCTGACTCTCCCACATGCCTCCACCGTCACAGCTCTGAAATAGAAAGTATGGATTTGGGACAAACAGCATTGCCACAGACTAGGTGAAAAGCTTGGCACCCTCGAACTGCAACAGCAGCTCCCAGCTCAGGCTCTCCAGCACATCAGGATGATGAGAGCCCTTCTTGAAATCCTCTTGCTTCATTAAAGTCCTTGTTCTCCTGCCCTCAGGCACTCAAGCTCTTCAGCTTGCCTGTCTGGCAGTGGGCAAATGTCTAGACCCAACTCATCAGTTAATAGCTTTTCCAATATTTCTTTCCCTGCCCTGAAGAAGAAATGGGCCCCGTGCACTGAGCTGATACAAATATCCTGGGATAGATCTTTTTGGGGACATGGTCAGTGACACAGTTTCACTCCTGGGTGGGCATAAAAGATGCCTGAAGAGCAGATGATTTTACAAGTGTGCTTACAGTGGGGACAGGAGAAGACTGGTAGGGGAGGAGAGGTGGTTGTTGGAAGTGAGATAAGTGTTCCCTTAGGAATTGCTTTCTCAAGTGATTCCAGATTTTCATTTCATCTGTTCACTTCATCTGTTACCCTTTTTCCCAGCTAGGGGATCAGGTCACAGGGAGGCACACAGCACAAACAATATTCATTAGAGCAGCGTCTATTGACTAAGGTCTTATTATTAATAGAGTCCAACTGCTATAATTAACAGTAGATAACTAATTACACACTCCACTCATGCACACATGCTCTCTGTTTTCCAGCTGGAGCAACAGTTGGAAGCAGTTTAGCCAGAAACAGAGGCTTGTACTGATGTGCCAATGCCTTCCAGGTGGGTGTTCCCAAAAGCCCTCAAAGGGTGCTTGGTTAATCGAGTCTATTGATAATCCTTGTCTCATCAGAATAATGCAGGCAGTGTCTTTGTGGCTGCAGTCAGACAACCCTTTCCTGGTGTTGGGGGCCTTGCAGAGATGCAAGGAAACTCTCAGTGTTCTGAGTTTTATTTCTGGCAGATCCAGCAGGTTTGCTAGTCTGTGGGGTTTATTAATTCTTGGGGGCTTCTAACATGCTGCCTTTTGGCACATAGTTTTCCTCTCTTCAGTATTCTTGGATAACTGCCTCTTCATCTACCTCCTGAGGAACCTGCAGAACCTATTCCCACAAACTGATGATAAAGAGGCTTTCAAACACAACTGTAACAGACCAGAAATGTAACCACCACCCAAGCAAGGCTGCATATTTCAGACACTTTGAACAACTTATTTGTAAACAAGGGGTGCCTGACCTCAGCTGCAGCAGAGCTGGCACTTAGCTGTAATGCAGAAACTGATATTATTTAGGAAAATTTAACATTTCCTAACCTTGATGGGGTTAAAACCTCAACACTGGGTCAAAGTCTTTCCTTGAAATATATGGGCACACGCACACTTGCATACAAACACAACTTTTTCTTTGCTCCAGGACTGAGCAGGATCTTGGTTTTAACAGCCTATTATTTTGTGAGGTTTTGAGATAATACAGAATTCTAAACTGTCCATGATTCTCACAGGCTTGGACCAGATGATCCTTGAGGTTCCTTCTAACCTGGCATTCTATGATTCTACAACCGATTCCATGATTCTCACAGACTTTGCAAAATGTGTCTTGTGGTGTCTGGGACTATAGGGAAGTGCAAACAGCAACACATTTCCTCCTTCAAAAAAACAAACAGATGAAGGCAAAACTGAGTTGTATTGGCAAACCAACATGCTTTCATTAAAATGGTTCAAACTGAACAAATTATAGTTAGAGTTTTGGCACCCTACCAGTTGATTCCCATCACAGCTGATCTTCCACCTCTCTGATCACCAGACTGGTCTTGAAATCACAAGTTACCATGGTGAGGTCTATTCCTTTCTATCTTCTCTGCATTTGTGACTCCTAACCACCAGTCTCTTGGAGCAGTGAGGAGATTAGGCTTTGTTTTGGGGTTTTTTTTTGCCCACTGAAACATTTTATTCCAGTTTGAGACGAAAGATACCACACCCTAAAGGTACCTAGGTATTGATAGTTGGGGCACCCTGAGCACACACTGCAGGGCCCGTGGAGGGCTCCAGCTTTTGGGAGGGCTTTGGGAGAGACAGTTTGACGCTGGGTCTGACGGTGTAGACAATGATAGTCATAGGATATTCCTTAGTAAACTCAATAGAAATATAGCCTAATAAAAATCTACTAACATAATGAATTTGCTATACTAAGGGTTGCTTTTAAAACAATGTGCTTTGTGAAACTATCAGTCAACTATGCCAAGCACCCTGTAGATTGTGATGACATCAAGTCTTCCAAGAACCTGTGGAACCTCCAGACATTTATGTGGATTCTGACCCACCTGGGCAATCTACAGACAACATTTATGTGGATTCTGACCCACCTGGGCAACCTACAGGCAACATTTATGAGGATTCTGACCCACCTGGGCAATCTACAGACAACATTTATGTGGATTCTGACCCACCTGGGCAATCTACAGGCAACATTTATGAGGATTCTGACCCACCTGGGCAATCTACAGACAACATTTATGTGGATTCTGACCCACCTGGGCAATCTACCAGCAGGAGACTGGAGACAGGACCAGGAAGAGAGACAGGACCAGGATGGGAGACAGGACAAAGGACTAGAATAAACAAAGACCCCCTCCAGGAGACCCCTGAGCAGGCATCATTACGAAGATAGCCAATTCCATAAAATGAAATGACTACGTAAAAGAATTCTGGGAACTCACTGACAGGGAACTGAAGATGCACGTTTTTGGTGAATATGAGCTGGGCTGTTCCACTAACTCGTGGGAGCACTCAGGGTGGAGAAACCCCAGCGCTGCAATAAAGAGTGTCTGCTCAATAATAAAGAATTCCTGCTCAGGAACAGCTTGTTTGTTGTCGTTGGGTCTTGATCTGGGAATCCTCACCCACTTTGGCGAGGAGTGTTAGGGAGCCAGGGGCTTTGGATGCTCGGAAATGTTTGTTTCAGCAACTGATGCCCGTGGTTGAGTGAGGTATAAAGAGCGGTATGGAGGTGTAAAGAGCCGTATGGAGGTGTAAAGAGGGGTACGGAGATGTAAAGAGCGGCATGGAGGTGTAAAGAGGGGTGTAAACAAAGGCAGGCCCAGGCGCAGGCCCAGGCCCAACGGCCTCAGAGCCGCCGCCATTTCGCTCCCCACAGCACCGGGACCACCGGGACCCCCAGGACCGGGGCTCCTCATCCAGCCCTCCTGTCCCGCCGAGCCCCTGCCAGGCCCGGGGCGGGGCTGAGGGAAGCGGGGCGGGCGGAGGAAGGCCCCGCGGAGGAGGAAGAGGAGGAGACGAAGAGGAGGAAGAGGAAGGCCCCGCGGCGCCGGCGGAGGGGAAGGGGGAGGGTTGTGGGAAGGGTTTTTCCTCCCCCCCCACCCCCATCAATCCCCTTTCTGGGGTGACCCGCTGGGAATAAACAGCCTCGGTTTTAAAACGTGTTTGAGGAAGGGGGTGAGTGGAGGTGGAGGGAGAGGCGCTGTGTTTTGTGTTCTGTCGGGTGGAAACAAGTGGTTCCGTGAGGGGCTTTTCTTGTGGATCCATCGCGTCACGGGCCTCAGGGTTTTTCTTTTCCGAATTTGGGGTTCTTCTGAAGGCTTTATCCCACGGGTGTTTGCCTGCTCTCACAGAGAAGCGTTTCCTCTGCATGGTGTGTTCTTAGGTTCTGTTCCCACCCTTTGTTCTTCTGGAAGAGATGGCAACTTGTTTATGTGAGAGAGACGTCTGTCCTTTCCCCAAATAAGGCTGAAATTAACAAAAAAGTTGTCAGGGAGACAAGCCAGGACAACTCTATGTGTCCATGAGTCTTTGTTTGGGAGACCAAATAAAAAAATGAATTATGTTTGTTTTAAGGTTATTTTTTTCTTCTGAAATGACCTGAAGGAATATGTTGGCAGTTGCCAAACACCAAAATAAAGTATTAATTGGCTTTTTGCATTAGAAATACTTGGACTCAAGCAGCTTTATAGTTTTCTACTAGTGTTTCTCCCATGGTTTTCTCCTTGTGTTTGTACTTAATGGGAGTGGCATTAGTGAAACAAATATCAGGCACTGGGTTTCTTAAATCTTGAATTTCTTGTGTTTTTCACTTGCCTTCTTGAGTTTATGATTCTTCTGTCTTTCAAGGCGCAGTCTGTTTATGAAAACCAGACAGGTTTCTGGAAAGTTGGGTTTGGAGTTGCTCCTATTTTTATTATGTGGCATCTAAGCAGCATACAAGACTCTTAGTATTTTGTTGGGAGGCCTGGAGGAGTATCCAGACATCTTGAAGTAGTGATGCCTTAACTCACCCAGGGTGCTGGTGAATGCACTTCAAAGCATTAAACAAGCTGGAAATAGGGGAAAAAGTGTCAATGGAATGGTGCTGGTCAGCAGTGAAATAGCTCACAGAACCTGCATGGTTGTGGTCACTAAGTCTTTGTCTTGTGTTTCTTCTAAATAAACATCACAGAAAATGAGAATTTAGAGAGGACACGGAAAGTTCATCTTGCCTGTGCTCAGTGAGAGCTTCAGGGAAAGCTGGGCCTGTGGGAGGGCACAGGAGGATGTTCCTTTGGAAGCTTCATAGGCAGGAAGGAGGGTTGCAGGGGGATGATGGTAAACAGAAAACTGTGCACAGTGGAGAGTTGGAGGCAAGTCAGAGCTGAGCATGACAGGCCTTAGGGAAGTGGAGAAAACTTTGGTTTAGTGCAGCTGAGAGGGAGTCAATAAAGTATATACAATTTTTCTCATTCAGAATGGCTCCTTAGAAATGGTATATGGAAGAAACCTCTGCAGTCACAGAAGTATCCCTAATTTAATTACTCTTTGATTATTCCTAGGCTTGGTATGTTAAATGGTGACTTCAAATAATAAGGTTGTCAACATTTTCTTTTAGGTGTGGATTTGCAGGAGAAACAGGACCAAGATGCATAATTCCCAGTGAAATAAAGAAACCTGACGTCACAAAGGTAAACTGTTCTACCTGAACTGTTTTACCTTTCCAGTGCTCACTGTATGATGCCAAAGAAGGAATTTGCAGATGTGTTTTCTGTCCATTATAAGCCATTTTTCTTTATCTTATAACTGCTGCTATGAAAAGGTTGTCACTGGGTACAAGTCTGTACCAAAGCTGCTGTTAATTGGTACTTACCACCCATGCAGCTTCTGTTTGGGGCATTGAGAGGTTTCTTTGCCTAGTTATGCTTTTTCTTTTGTACTTTCAGCAGAGGATGACAGCTTTGGAAAACTAATGTTGAAATAAGTTACTAGTACAAAAAATTTGCATTAATAAACTAGAGCTTAGTTGCACAGTGAGTTTATGGGATGCATTGTTAAGGACATAGAGCAAATCAGGTAAGAGTGAGGATTTCTTTGTATGTGCCAGATTTTATATATTTGGAGATACTATATTATACATATATGTATTTCTTGATATATAATCACTGCCTAGAGTTTAAGCTGACTGTGGATATTTTTACTTTACAGCCTGTCAAAGTTGTTCAGTATAATATAAATACAGAAGAGTTATATTCATATCTGAAGGAATTCATCCATATGCTATATTTCAGGTAAGAGGTACTTGGGTGTTAGTCCTTCAAGCCTTCTGCAGGTCTTTTCTGAGTACATTGAGGTGTTAGAAGTGTGACTGGTAGCTGCTTTTTAGCAGAGTGAGAAAACAGAAACCAGATGTTGCTACTGGCTGCCTGGCTGTGTTCCTGCAGGAGGAACTGAGTGGTGCTGAGATTCAGAGTTAGTGTCCTGCAGCATCAGTAGCTCTCTAGAAATAAAAGTATTTTGTAAGTTGCCCTGCAACTGTGACACTCACAAAAGTCTTGATGGGGGAAGGTCATCACCTGAGAAGTTGTGCAGATTTTGGTAGGGCTGAAACCCATCTTATGTCAGTGCAGAGCTCTCTCCACATGACAGTGGTTTGGAAGGAAGAACCTTAACTTGTGCAATATTTTTACCTCAGTAATACATCTTTTTGTTGTATTTTTAGTACCATTCATGAATAATGCAGTTGGACTTTAGTCTTTCCTCTTCCAAGCCTTGTTTCCCTGTGTCAAGTGAAGATTTTTACTGTGCCTCAGACCTTCTGGTGTGTGGTGGTGTTTGGTTTTTTTTATTCCTGTCCTTGACGATTGCTTTATGGTTGAAATCAGGACAATTCCATCCTCTTCCACTGAAATCAGAGCATCTGTATGGTCATTATTGCTCTTTTATGGACAATGTATGACCCTGGACAAGCCATTAGTGGCTGTTACACATGCCTATTTTGGCACATCTTTATATTGCATTAGAAATGTTTAACAGAAACTCAGAACTACAGGCTGCTGGCAGAGAACTCTCTCACTTGTTTTCTGTAACTCAGTTTCCTAACTTCCTTTTAGGAAACCATTGGGTTTCCTTTTAAATTTGGGAAAAAGGCTTTGGGATCAGCTGTAGAAAATGCTATCTAAATGCAGATTTTTTTGATTTTTGAGGAGAATGGAATATGAAGATAAGGTGGGTCTCACAATACATTCTTGAACTCACCAGCTTTGTTTTGCATGTCTTGCCCTTTTAGACACCTGTTGGTGAATCCCAGAGACCGCCGGGTTGTGATCATAGAATCTGTCTTGAGCCCTTCACACTTCAGAGACACACTGACAAGAGTCCTTTTCAAGCATTTTGAGGTATGTGTTCCACATAACTACTGGAGGTGCCCAGCACTTTGCCATTAGAAATTGTACTTACAGTCACTACCAGATGCAGACAAAGAAATGAAAAGAATGCCAAAGGAATGGGAGGCAGAAACAAGAGGAAAAAAAAGCTGATGCTCATCTAGGGAAGACTGGACTAAGGGCCATTTTTTCATGAGGCCACAAGACAGAAACTGTTAACAAGAATCTAAAAGGTTTCTCTGGCTTGTACAAAAATACAGCACCATTCCAGACAGGTCCAATAATTCCCATTGAGTGCTGCCTGAAGCCAGAATTGATACTTAATCACTTGCTAGTGCTCTGTCAGCAAGTCTCATGACTTCTGCCAGAGTCAATATCTTAGCATATGACCTAACCTCTGGCTGTACTCATTTAGATAAGAGCTTACCTGAAATGTATTGTCTTGTCTGCTTAGTGCATCTTCTTTGAAGCAAAGTCTGAACCTAATTCTTGCTTAACTTTAACAGCAAGTGTTTTAGAAGGTGAATCCATAGGTTTTCAATTCAGACAGAACAAAGGTTAAGGTTCTTCTGTAAAAAGTGGTGAAACTGCTTTGTCTGCAGTACTTCACTGTGCTTCCTCTATGCATTTCACCAACTAATCTTGAGCTTCCACACAATTCCTTCCTACTATTGATAAATTTTTCTGATGACTTGGAATTGCTGAAAGATTGAGTGATTATTTTTTTTCCTAATCCCCTTATGGCGGGGGGGGGGGGGGGGGGGGGAGGAGGGAAAGCCTCATGTAAAGCAATCCCTGGCAAAACTGGTTGTTGAAAATAACTTGTGACTTGGAAAGTCATGTTTTGATGGAGAGACTGTAGCTTGTTCAGAAGCCAGCTGATACTGAAGTGAAGTGAATTCTCTCTGGCCAGAATAAAATGTGGCTTATTAATTCAGGGTCAATATTATAGCTTGTGTCTCTAGCCTATATATCTGCAGTGTTCCCCTTAAATGCAGGATTTATTGAGATTGCTCATTTAATTCACACTTCAAGGTGTTCCAGTAAAGGAACTGTTGCTATCTAGGAAACTTGATTTATGGAATTCTGGGGGAAGGAATTAATTCTCATGTAATTATGACTTGAATTTCCACATTACTTACTTCCACAATACTGTGAGGTTGTGTGTAATAACATGTTGTCATTAGGCACACATTTATGGGTTTTCTGGCACCTTTGTTCACGTTGTCAAGTCTTTGTACAACATTTCAAGTAGCTGTGTTTTAGCTTTTTCCATTCCTCTTCAAATAACAAGAAGAAACCTGAACTATGACTTAAGATGAGTTCCATAATTAACACTTGCTATTTTTGCAAGCCCATTCCAAGATTCATTGTTACTGAAGGCACTGCTGTGAGACACAGATAAGGTGAATGTAGAATTTGGGACCCTGTTGTATATTGTTTGTTACTACACTGCCTTAAAAACTAAATAAAAATGGATACTGCAAGATAGAGTTGTTTGGGTTCTGCTTGTAGTATGACATTTAGGGAAAGCATCAGTGTTTGGGTTTTTTTCTCTCTCTTCTGTCAATTTTCCTCTTGGTTTCCTTGTAGGTACCTTCTGTTTTGTTTGCTCCGAGTCACCTAATGTCTCTGCTGACACTTGGGATCAATTCTGCCATGGTGCTGGACTGTGGCTATGCAGAAAGCTTGGTGCTGCCTGTATCCTTTAATAGTACACACCCTTTTCAGCAATAAGCATGTCGTGACAATATGAGATTTTTGTAGACTTCAAGTGTGTTGAAAAGTAATAGGAGCAGATCAGCCAGTTTGTCTTTTGACTGTCGGATGTGGTGACTTGTGACTCTGCTCGCACCTGAGATGCTGGATCTGTGAAACCTGGGAAGGGTGCTTCCTAACTTCAGCCTGGACATACTAGAAACTAGTTTGGGAGAAAAGCAGTTAGAAAGTGCTTCCATTAACTAATGCAAGATCATGTTAAGGGGGAAAAAGCTTTTTGTTCCAGCAGATTGAAAACTCAAACCGAGGAGAATTTCCTGATCTTCTGTAGATATATGAGGGAATTCCAATCCTGCGGTGCTGGGGTTCCCTTCCTCTGGGAGGAAAGGCTATCCACAAGTAAGTTCACACTCAGACATTCCAGGTTACTCATCACTTCTTTGTGGAAGTTAGTAGCTGGCTAGTGACCAAAGATTCCTCTTGAACGTGGCTTCAGCCATAAGTGTCCAACAGCATCCAGTGTTTAAAGGTACCACTCTTGAGTGTAGGAAAAGCTGTGGAAACCAGAGCTGCCTCAGTTTATATTTAGAAGAATGTAACTGAAGGGAATAAATACAGTCCCTTAAGTGTAACAGAATCAGCCTGAGCTAAGAGCTGACTTAGACTAACTTGATGTGCAATGTTTTAGGGAACTGGAATATCAGCTGCTGGAGCAGTGCACAGTGGATACTGGATTAGCCAAAGGACAAAGCCTTCCATCTGTGATGGGTAAGGACTGTTTGATGTAGCATATGTGCTGGGAACTTGCACTGGGGAAAGTGGATTAATACCAACAGTGAACAAAAGGAGTTTATTCCTCACTGTGTCTTGTGATCTACTGTCATGATTTCTTTCTCATTATTGAGCAGTTCTGTTATTTCTATGATAAGCCACTCAACAATAGTAGGTTTTCATGAAGGCTGAGCCAAAATTTCTGTAGTAATTTTTTTGTCTATTTTGACAGAATACAGACTTTTTTTCCCTGTTCTTAATATTCTTACTTCCTCAGAAGTCTTTATAAGTGCTGTCCAAGTGAAACTTTAATATAGTAAATGCAATTCAAACCTAGTTTCATTCTTAAAGTCTCTTCTGCTTAAAAAGCTTTTGTTTTAAATTATTTTTTTGTATTTCAGGCTCAGTTCCAGAAGACATAGTGGAGGATATAAAAGGTAAGGTTTTCTGCTTCTTGAAACTCTATTAACTTGTGCAGTAGAGGAGAGCATGAGAATAACAAGTGTGCAGTACTTTACATTTAGGAATTGATTTTATTTTATCTGTTTATCGTTTATTTTACCTACTAGAAGAACTTGCAGCGTTCTTCCTCTATGAAAACAAACCTACTTTCAGGTGTAGCCTTTGTGTTGTCAAGAGGTAGCTCTTAGATACATATTCAGTGGACATAGGAAGAGTTGTAGATACCCTGTGATCAGCAGCTCAGGTGAACTTCATGTTGCATTTTTTAACTGAAGGCACCATCAGTCCTGTTCTCCTGACTGTCAATCTTGTGGAGCTTGTCTGAGACAGGAATCTTGCCTCTCCTAGCATAGTTTTGGTGTCAGCTTTCCTTGAATTCATGGTCTAGGTAGCATCTGAACTCTGCTGAAGCACAGAGATTGTTTTTCTTTGTGTTTATTTGGTAATGTCCTGGACCAGCAAGGGCCCAAATTGTGTATTCTTCTATAAATTATGCAAAATTATGGTCTGAATTGTTGATAAAAGAATCCAACAAAGTCTCTCTTCTCCCCCTTCCTCACATCAAGTGCGCACTTGTTTTGTGAGCGATCTCCAACGTGGACTGAAGATCCAAGCAGCCAAGTTCAACATTGATGGCAGTGCTGAGGTGGGTGGAGAATGAAGCTTGCTCTCCTCCTTTGAATGGACTGCAGCCTTTTTGGCCTCTCAAGTAATGCACATATGGTTTTATCTCTAGCGTCCCTCACCCCCTCCAGACGTGGACTACCCTTTGGATGGAGAAAAGATTCTTCACGTCGTTGGCCCCATCAGGTGAGAAATACTGTAGTTGAGTATTTGTCTGTAGGAGGATGTCTTTTTAAGTCTAAATGCACATTCATTTCCATAAAGTTGAATTTTACTGAAACAATTGCATATGCTTTCTGTGTCTCTTTTAAGGCTTTGTGCTGGGCACGTTAGAAGCCCATAATAAGTGTTTGCTTCCCCAGGGAGCTCACAGTTGAAGATGAGAACAGGCAGATTGGAGGGCTGAGGGAAACAGAAATGGGGTATTAATGCAGGCTGGTCTGACAGGTTTGCTGAAGTGAACTTTGTCTCCTCCCTTTGGCAGTGGGCTGTGTGACAGGAGCAGGATGATGGTTGTCA